CTGGGAAGAACTTCTTCCTCATGTCATCTATACACATGTAACTTTATACCTTCTCATATAGGTGGTTGGTTTTGCATTTGGGGCTGAAAGCAAGACCAGCGGCTTACAGTTAGGTGTAGTATGAGGGTCTTCCGTTCGGCTGTCCCTGTTATGAGTCGTGGCTGGCACCGCAGCCTGGTACTTACACAAATCCCTTTCTGAAGTTCACCGAAGTGTAAACCAAACATACCCAGTAGCTGCAGCACAGAAAAGGGATTTATTTGCACTTGTTAGCTTCAGCCACGCAGCCCATTCTCACTCTGTTTTGCCACAGTGCCTGCTGTCAGCTGCTGCGCGTACCCCGAAGTGACGGTTACCGTACTGTGTGGCAGTGCTCTGAAACGCCTTTGTGTATGCCAGTAATCTGCCTTAGGCAGAATGTTTATGTCCTCTAACATAAACTGCACACAGTGCAGGGAGTCAGGCACACAGGTCCCTCAAGTTAGGGCAGGGGTTTGGTCATCCCCTGTAACTCCCATGCTCTGTAAGAACCATTCACCTCCAATAAGCCAAAGAGCAGAACCTCACAGGGGGTGGGAGCGCGATTAGCAGCAGAATGATCAAATTAAGCCATAGCATTGATGAGTTTTTCCCTTTTGCCTTCATCTTTCTGTTTACAAAGGGTATTGCACGTGCTTTCTCTTTGGCAGTTTCACACCGTTGTAACCCCGAGCGTTTGTCACCAGCTGGACTCGGAGCCGCAGCCGGCATGTCTGGGTCAGGAGGTCCACCATTGGTTTTCCAGAGACGTCTCAGCTAAACGTGTCTGTTGAGGGTGGCTTTTAAGAGAGCAGGTTTGATCCAAGACGTAGTGGTCGTGTGGACCTCCCAGTGACGTCAGTGGGTTTTACTAGCGCCCAGCGTCATCCTTCTGGATGAACCACTTGCGAAGAGAGTGGGTGCTGCCTGGCGTGTGGCAGCTTACCTGTTCTCTGCTTTGGTGTTGTGGCTCCACGCTCCCAAAGGGAATCCTTGGCTGGCGCAGCTGCAGGGCTGTCAGAGGGAAAGCGTGGCTGTTTTCTTGGCAGCATGTGTCCATGTACCCCCACCCCACCCCAGAAGGAGGAGACAGTGATGGTAAAGTAGCATTACCTTTCTGGTCACGCCATGGAGCCCAGCAGTGGCTGTCACAGAAAAAAGGAATTCCAAGTCGTGATTTCTGGTTCTCTGAATCATATTAATTAATATTGTTATTGCCATTTTCAGTGAGCTAGTGAGAAAGTCATTCCCCTGGGACTGAATGTCCATGCATGTCCTTGGTTAGTAGGTTGTGTCGCCTCTCGCTGCACTTCACAGCTAGACAGCTGGGCAGACTTGGATCTTCCTGCGCCTGTGGTCGGGACGTCCGTGGCAGCTACAGCAGCTATAGCACCAGCAACTGCAGGCGATGATCATGAGCACCAGAACAGTGACTGAAAGAGAAGCAAAGGATATTGCTTCGTGATGTAGGAGCAATTACTGGAAAATAACCCTACCTCTCCTCCCAGTTGTTTGATGAGAGGCAGAGTGAACAAAGACTAGTTTCTTGCTGATTTTTTTTCCCTATATCCCCACCTCCCTCCTCCAAAATTCCTGCTCCCTTGTATTAGTTATCCATTTTATCTGGACAATCATTGCTGGATATTTCATGATCTTAAGAGCGATGTACTAAACTATGGGGGTATATCTTTATCTGCCTAATGGGCTGCTGTTTCGGAGATGACATCTAGTGACGAAGTAGAGCTGTGTGCCTGGAAAGGATGGACATCCACGTCTCCACATAGTTGTATCAGAATTGGCTTGAGAGGATTTGGTTAGTCAAGCTAGCAGTTGCATCTCTGGAGTGCACGCAGCGTACCCTTCCATGAGGACAGATATTCGTGGCTGGGGTGG